GTTTTAATAATTCCGATCGTTCGACTGAAGGAAATATTTTTCCTTGTGTTGATAAATTTTTTTTTAATATGAAGTTGAATCTGGCAGCAACTTTTCAGCACCCACTTAATTTTGTAAATTAAATATTTTTTCTGTTTGTAACCAACATAAAATTTTGAAAAATTAAGTGGGTCCAAGTTTTAGCTTCATAAAAAATATTTAACTTCAAAATTAAGTGGGTGCTGATAACTAGATGACAGTCTCAACTTTATTTTTTAAAAATTTAATTTAATTATTTGAATCTAAAATTTAAAAAAAAAATAATTTTCTACATAAAATTATTTTCTCCAACACTTGCTCTGAAAGGAGTACTTTTCTTGGTAGAAAAGTGTGGCGAAAGTAGAACTTTTCTCAACTGCTCTGAAGAGCGTGGCGAAAGTAAAATTTGGCGTGGCGAAAGTAAATTCAGCGTGGCGAAAGTAATTTTTAGCGTGGCGAAAGTAAATTTGGCGTGGCGAAAGTAAATCATGAATTTATTCTTTTTTCTTGTTCTTTGACCGAGATTTATTTTGTATCTAACTTCTTCCCCACTCAAAACATTCGTCTTTTATTATATTAAACATAAGAACATTTTAAATTAAAATTATACGAAACTCACGAAGAAACCTTTCCTCGCAAGGCGTTGGAGAAAACGTAGTGCACAACTCGTGGTGAAAGAATGATTTCTCTCGAGTGATTGCTGCTCTCGCTACGCTCGAGCCGCAAACTTCACTCTCGAAAAATCACACTTTCGCCACTAGTTGTACAATGTACTATTTTTACATTTTATTACTAATTTTTATTTATTTCAATGAAGAAAAAAAATTTCTCAAGCTAATTTTTTAAAGGGAAATAAAAATAAAAAGTTAATATAAATGTCAGATGGGTTAAAATTAAAAATTAGTTCTTTGAAAATTATTTAATGATAATTTGTGTCTGCTTATAATAAGTAATAAGTATTCAAGTAAAATGGGCAAGAATACTTGTTTAGACTTGTTTTCCTCACTGTGGGATGCAAGTTAAGACTAGTCGTTGCCGGATGAGCCGGTGTTATTATTCTTTTCGAGGTACTCACAAAAGTTTATGTGTTGTAGGCCATAAGAATGGACTTGAAATGGTCTTGTCATAAAAGTCGCAAACTAATAATAATAACGAATCGTCGAATGGAAAAACGGAAAAATTTAACTTGACAGGCGTAGAAAAATATATTTGATGCACATTTTTTAGTTATTTATATTTTTTGCACATTTTAATTATTTTTATTTATATTTTTCTGCATAGTTTTTTATTTTTTTAAAAAAATTTTACTCGTTTTTTATTTCTACAGATTTTTTTTATTTTTACTGTTTTTTTATTTTCACTCTTTTTTATTATTATTATTATCATCGTTATTGTTAATATTTTTTTATTTTTACTCCCATTATTGTTAATACATATTTATTTTTTATTATCATTTATATTAATATTTATTCGAGTTTATTAACAATAACAATGTTAACAATAAATAATTATTATCTTTATTGTTAATATTTTTTTATTTTTATTTCCATTATTGTTAATACATATTTATTTTTTATTATCATTTATATTAATATTTATTCGAGTTTATTAACAATAATAATGTTAACAATAAATAATTATTATTAATAATAAAAGTTAGTAAAACAATTACTAAATAATAGTTAACAAAATTTATTGAATATTTAGTTATTATTGTTGTTGTTAACGTTTCTTAATATTAATATTTTACAAACGAGCTGTTAATATTAATAACAAATAATTTTAATAATATTGCGTCGCGTATTGGAAAATAATTTACAAAATTACAAATTATATTTTCTTACATTCTGAATTTTTGCGTAAAATTTAAAAAATAAATAAAGTTTGTTTTAACAGAAAATAAACTTTGCTTTTTAATTAAATAAATTATAAAATTAAAATTATAAATTAAATTTTAATTAAATTTAATTTTTAAAATTTAGTTAATTTAGTTACTTATTTAATTATTCAGTTATTTTTTCATCATATTATTATGATTTTCCACATTTGTAATAACAATTATCGTTATTTTGCTAATATTTATCAATTTTTTATCATCATTAAGTTTTTTATTTTTTTTTTAATTATTTTTTTGTTTTGCTTGTCTTAATAGAGGAATTTTTATTGTCTGAATAAATGTTAATTTATCAGAACTTTTGTAATATATGTGTATAATAAAAATTTCAAGTATTCGTTCGTTACTGTAAATATTTCAAATGTTGATTGCATAAGAGGAAGACACACACAAGCACAGGTAGAGGTAGGTATATATTAACACGAAATGGTAAAAATATTTTTTTCGATATCGATATACACACAATTGTGTATAAAATTTATATATACAATATGAATCATATACATCGAAATTTATGTCATTTCTTGTGTTATACAAAACTCTTTCTTTAAAAAAAAAAAAAAATAAATAAAACGAATGTGCTATCTAACGTCTTATATGATAATAACCATCCATTTTTTATCATTTACAAAAGAAGCGTGACATTGTTTTTAAGAGAAATTGTTTGATAAACTTGTTATTATATTAAGACATGTTTGACAGAGGAGAAAATACTTTTATTTCTTCATTTTTTTTAATAAAATGTGGAAAAAAGAAAGAAGAGGGAATTTTTGTGTTTTACATTAAGGATGAATATACATTTCGATTGAAATATAGAAAATTCTGTAGACAAACTTTTCAGAAACAAAATATTTTTCTTTTACAGTTTTTCTGCAGATATCAAATTGAGACAAAAAACGAATCAAAAGTGTTGCGAAGCAACATTTTGATTCGTTTTTTGTTTTTTTTTTATTTTTATTATATCGATTGTTTCTATTATTAGATATTAATTTATGGTCAGTTACCATATTTTTGTCCCAAGAAAGCAGAAATGAAATTAGTAAAAAGTAAGGGAATTATTTTTTTAATCCTTGTAAAACACACTGTTTAAATAAGTAAAGTATTTTTCAAGAGCCCAAAAATAATGAAGCTAAATGCCATAAATGAGAAGAAAAAATAATGAATTTTAAGAAATTCGGTTTTTTGAATTTTTTCGATTTTTTGATAATTTTAGATTTTTTACCAAATGATGGAGACTATTATCAGGGTGTCTAACGGTCAGGGAAGTCAGAAAATGTCAGACAATTTCATTGAATGTCAGGAAAATTTCTAAAAAGTTATACAAAAATAAAAATTTTTGTGAATAAAAAAGTAAAAAAAATTAAAAAGCAGTAGGTAAAAATAGTAAAATTCACTAATAAATTAGTAGAAATTACTGTTTATTAGTAAATCTTGTAAATTAAAAAGCAACAAAGCAGTAAAATTTGTTAATAAATGAATAGAATTTACTGTTTTCTGTTTAATAGTAAAATTTACTAATAAATTAGTAGAAATTATTGGCTTTTAGTCATATTACTGATTCAAAAGCAAAAAGTTTGTAAAATTAATAAAATTCACTAATAAATTAGTAAAAACTACTGTTTACTGTTTATTTATAAAACTTATACTAAAAAAGCAGAAAATCATAGTTAAATTTACTAATAAATTACTGTTTATTCACAGAAAAAACTTGGACTCATTTTTGTTGCAACTCAAAATGAGTCCATGTTAAATGACATAGAACGTGGCGCCATCTGCCCTACTCATTTTTGTTGCAGCTCATAATGAGTCACTTTTCCGACTCATTTTGAGTTTCGTTTTTTTCTGTGTTAGTAAAACTTACAAATTAAAAAGCAAAAAATCAGTAAAATTAGATATTTATACTAATAAATTTGTAGAAATTACTGCTTACTGTTTATTAGTAAAACTTAGTAATCAAATATCGATAATTCAGTAAAAATAGTAAAATTTAGTAATAAATTAGTAGGTACAAATTAGTGTTTATTAGTAAATCTTACTAATTCAAAAGCAAAAAATCAGTAAAATTAGTAAAATTCACTAATAAATTAGTAGAAATGTTTTACTGTTTATTTATAAAACTTACTTATTTAAAAGCAAAAATTCAGTAAAATTCACTAATAAATTAGTTGAAATTAGTGTTTATTAGAAGAATTGACTAATTCAAACCAAAAAAACAGTAAAATTAATCAAATTTAATAATAAATTAGTGGAAATTACTGTTTTATTAGTAAAATTTACTAATTCAAAAGCAAAATGTCAGTTACTAATTCAAATTACAATAATTTAAGTTTTTCTATTTCATAAATAAATTAAAATTAGTAAATGGTTTACATTAGTAAATTTCTCTAATAATTTAATAAAAAATACTATTACATTTTTGCTAACTCAAATTTAGAGATCTACAATTTTTAAAAAAATACAAAAATAAAATTAATAATTTTTGAAAGAAATTTGAAAAATTGAAATATTTTACAAAAAGCTCTCCTTTTGCATACAAGCTGTTAAAATGTATATACATCAAGACTTAAAATAGAAAAAAAAATTCAAAGGAAAAAAATTAATTATTTTTTGACAATAATTATAGAAATTAAAATATTTTTTTTCAAAAAAAAAAGGTCCTCTCTTACATACGAGCCACACATAACACATATTACATACACTCACAAAACACACAATTCGCGAGATTATTAAGTGTATTATCCATCCGCGGGCATGAGATTATTATACATATTCAATGCTCATAACATGTTCTCGCGCTCTCAGTCTCACCAAACCTATAGAAAAAGACACTAAATATTCTCCTCCAACCGCTTGGCTGACAATTATCAGTGAAAACAGACTTTCAACGTCAGCCCGTGTTTCGTTTGCCGGTTTCCCTCTCTTTCAAACCAAAAACCCCCTTTCAAAGCGCATGCGCTCCCATATTTCTCAGTAGCGTGTACCAGTCAGCCAATAAAATCAAACAACTGACGCCATCGTCATCCAATCACAAACCCTCCTCATGACGCCAGTACTAATTTTAGTTCCTCTGAGTCACGAGATATAAGGCTGAACATTTACTTGGGTGTTCACAAGTTGTTGAGACTCCGAGCTGTGCGGTTATAACACAACCAAAAGTCAATTTTCCTTCTTTTGAAAACACACTTCTTTTTTTCTCTCCCACCCACCACCCCCCCGTCTCTTGTGACAATAACACAATTTTATCAGTGGTGACGTTCTGTGACTCATTGTTGTGTTTTTTTTTCAAACAAAATTCACTGTGTGCGCGTGGATCAAAAAAATTATTTCTCCGTTAAATAATCGCGCAGCTGTGCGGAGTTTTTTCTTTTTAATTCCTCGTTTCAGAACCAAAGTGAAGTTAGTTACAGTTTCTCGAACGAAGAGAAGAGACCTCGTGGTTTCAAAGTGTGTGTGTTGCCTCGTGCTCTAATCGGCACCGGGGGGCCGTGACCAAAAAGACATCGTTATTATGTATTTATAAATACATATTTCTGAATATTATGTAAGAATTGCAAAATTTCTTACACAAGTGGAAAGTTCAAAAAATCGGAAAAACTGTGGTCAAATTGGGTGAAAAGTTGCCAATTTGAAAAAAATAGTGGGGAACAATTGACAGTGGGAGAATTGTGAGACAAAAATCGCCAATTGGGACCATTTGTCAATATTTGACACTAGGGGAGAAAATAAGTGTTTTTCGGCCGGCAAAGTGAAAAATTCCGCATCGATGGTGCGGAGTCTGACGATGGAGCCAACCTTCTATGACGACGCAGACATTTACGACAATACAAATCGTGAGAATCTCAAGAGAAACCTCACCCTGGACTTGAACGGTCATCATCGTCAGGGTCCCCAGGTGAAGAGACCACGACTTGGCCCCCTGGGACCTTCGCTCCACAACATGGCACCACTTCTCAGTTCACCCGATCTCAATATGCTGAAACTCGGCTCACCCGAATTGGAGAAATTAATAATCGCCCAGCAAGATGGCCTAGTCACGACAATGCCAACGCCAACGACACAAATTCTATTCCCAAAAACTGTCACCGAAGCTCAGGAACTTTATGCCCGAGGCTTCGTCGATGCACTCAATGAATTACATCATTCGGACAGTTCACAGGAGCCGGGCAGTATTCATGGGGCAACGTACACTACACTCGAACCTCCGGGCAGTGTACAAAGTACGGATACATCGATAAGTCAGGGTTTAATGCATCTCAAGGAGGAACCACAAACTGTGCCCAGTGTTTCGAGTTCACCGCCAATGTCGCCCATTGATATGGAGAATCAGGAGAAAATTAAATTGGAGAGGAAACGACAGAGAAATCGTGTCGCAGCTTCGAAATGTCGACGACGTAAACTCGAGAGGATCTCGAGGCTCGAGGACAAGGTTAAATTGCTCAAGGGCGAGAATACCGAACTCAGCGCAATGGTTCACAGGCTCAAGGAGCACGTGTGTCGTCTCAAGGAACAGGTCATGGACCACGTGCATTCTGGTTGTCAAATAATGCAAAATGTTCCCGGACAATTTTAAGGGAGTCAATGATACAATGACTTTTTTTTTATGCTTCGAACTTTTTTTGTGACAATTTGAATACTTTCTTGTGTTTCGAAAATAGGTCCCAAAACCTTGATACAAAAAAACGTTTTGTTTCGACAGTAATTCGTCCATTCGGAACTACTGCGATAAATTCGAAACAATTTCGTCAAATTCGAAACTATTTGGAACCAATTTCTCCAAATTCGAAACTACTTCGTCAAAAATTCGAACCAACATCGACGAATTCGAAACTACTTCGTCAAAATTCGAACCAACATTGACGAATTCGAATCTATTTCGGTCCAAATTCGAAACCATTTTCACCAATTCGAAAAATCCCCCCTTCCCCCTTTTTTCGTCATTTTAACGAAAAAAAAATGGTTTTGTTGCCTAAAACCATCTTGTCAGTGGGGAAAAAAAATTTTGTTGCCTAAACCCCCATCTTGTCAGTGGGGAAAAAAAAATTCAAGTGGTCGAAGTGCAAAAAAAGAACGAGGACTACGTGACTGTTATAATTTTTTTTTTTGCGGCAGACGTGGCCGTCGTGTGACGTCTGCGTCGAAGGTCATCACCCAGAGAAAAACGTGTGATGGCGGCCATTTTGGAGAACGAACGAGTTTTTTATTTTAATTCTGTGCAAGAAAAACTCGTGTGGGTGCTGCAAAAAAATCTTCTGGATACGTCCCGAATTTTTATTATACTATTATCATTATTATTAGTTTTTATTTTTGATAATAATATTTGTTATTATACGAATGGGAAGTTTTTTTGGACAAAAAAATGAAAAATAACACACATCTTCCGTCATTGTCGTTTCAACGCAGAACTCCGTTTCGTCATTTGTGCATCTAGTCTTGTCCAGTATGATGTCTACATTATTACGAACATTTATATTTTAATTGATCGTTCGTGGACCTGATTACAGGGTAAAAAATCCAATGTTTATTTTCTATTGTTAAAGAATTATTTTTTTTAACGTATTTCAAAAATACGTTTCAATTTTTTTAAAAATTAAAAATTTTGGAAATTAAATATTGAAAAAATTAAAAATTTTGGAAAATTAAAAATTATGTAATAAATAATTATATAATATATATATAATAATTACATAATATATAATATATCATTTACATAATATGTAATTATGTAATATATTTTTTTACACGAAAAAAAATTTGCTTTTTAAATAAAATTCTATTTTTTTTCAAAATAACAAAATAGAAAACAAGACGCAATTTTTTTCTTTTTGTTGGTTAAATGAACCAAATGCTTTGTTAATTTATTTAAATGATTCAAAATGGATTTTTGAATTTCTTTTTTAGTTTTATATGTAAATAAAAGGAAAAAAAGACCTTGGATTTTTTACAGTGTATATCTTTGGGATTTTGTAAATTAGTATAGAGGTATACAGTACTTGCGAAAATCGTGTTTTCCAGTCGCAAAATATTTTTTTTATTGACTTTTACTATGAAAAAGAAAAAAGAGAAAATTTCGCTCACATCTCTATCTCATTTGTATTGTGAAGTTTCAGAATTTAAAATTTTGCTTAAAACGGAATGAAATTTATTTATTAAATTTACTAAAAGAATTATATTTCTTTAATAGTGACAACAAATTTTTTATCAAACTACTAAATTTCTTTGGAAGTTAATAAATTTATTTACTAATTTACTAAATAAGTTGCTAAATAAATTTATTTACCAATTTTGCCATAAATAGTTACATAATTTTTATTTAGTAAATAATTACCAAAACTTATTTACAAATTAACTAAGTAAATAAGTAAATCTATTTTATTTACTCATGTACTAATTAAATTACTTAATGAACTTATTTACCAAATTTCTTGACTAAAAAAAAAATACTGAATGAATTTATTTACTAAACAAATGTATTTGGTATTTAAAAAAGTTATTTACTACGAATAATTTATTTTTTAGATAAATAACTGGTAAATTTATTTGCGAAATAAAAAATTAAGTAAATAAATTTAATTACTAAGGAAAAATTTAGTAAATTTGTTTATTTACTAAATAATGAAGCAAATAAATTTTAGTTACTAAATAATGAAAGTAAATAAATTTTAGTTACTAAATAAGGAAGTAAATAAATTTTAGTTACTAAAGTTACTAAATCAAGAAGTAAATAAAGTTTAGTTACTAAAAATACTAAATAAAGAAGTAAATGAAGTTTACTTATTAAATAGAAAAGCAAATAAAGTCTACTTACCAAACAAAGAAGTAAATAAAGTTTACTTACTAAATAAAAAAGAAAATAAAATTTTGTTACTAAACAAAGAAATAAATAAAGTTTAGATACTAAACAAAAAGGTAAATAAAGTTCAGTTACTAAATACAGAAGTAAATAAAATTTAAATAATAAATAAAAAAGTAAATAAATTCGTTTATTTACTAAATACTGATATAAATAATATTTTTATTTACTGATTTATTTAGTAATTTATTTAATAAATATTTAGTAATGTATTTAGTAAATATTTAGTAATTTATTTAGTAAATATTCAGTAATTTATTTAGTAAATATTCAGTAATTTATTTAGTAAATATTCAGTACTTTATTTAGTAAATAATCAGTAAATAAACGTAAACAATAAACAAAAAAAAATCTTAAGTAAATTAACAAGTTCATTTCAGCAATAAAAAATTAAATAAAGTCCAAAATTTATTTATCAATTTACTGTAAATAAATTCATTCGTTATTCGTCTCAAAACATTCGAAATATTTTAAATTCTGAAAACAAATTCCATTCACAAATAGGCATATTTATAAAGTTTGGCGATTGTCTAAATTCAAAGTGTTCTTAAAATTTTTGAACATTCGTGAAAACGAAATTTCCACATGTAAAATGAGTAAAAAAAACATTTTCAATCTTTGAATGTCAAATTCAATTTATTTTTTTTTCAAAAAAGAAAAAACTAAATATATATATATGGTAAAAATAGTGAAAACTAATAAAAATTATTAAAAAAAACTAGTGATTGTCTTCTAAAGACAAATAAAAAATTTTTTTTGCACGAAAAAATTATTATTGATTCAATCGAATTATAAATATTTTATATATTAATTTTATATAATAAATAATAAAATAAAAAAGAATGTGATTTTTAAAAAAACAAAAATTTATTTTTCTATATAAGAATATGAAAAATTTCGTTCCACTTGAATGTTCAAGAAAGAGAAAAATTTTCAAGTATAGTGTAAATTATTTTCTTACTATAATTAAAAAAAAACGAATATTTAAGATTTTTTTTACTATATACCGCAAGGAGTAAAAAAAAAAGAAACCAAGTGATCTAAAAATAGCGAAATAATATTGTATAAAATTGCTATTATATAAAACTTGACTAAAATTTGATATTTTAGTTTTTATAAAATGTTTCTTCAAACATTTTTTTTGCAATTATAGATTATATATAAATTATATATATAAATATAAATATATATGTATATGAAATTCATTAAGCGTGTAAATAGACACTATTAAAAAAAAATGAACTCTTTTCATATATGTATATTTAACTTCAATTTTCCACGTGTGCAATGAAATTTTACATTAAAAATAAATCTTGCAAAATATTTTCTAATTTCTTTTTTTAATGGAGAGAATTAAATTGTTTTTTCTTGATGAAAAAAAATACATTTAACGTAGGTATTTATAAAAAGAAGTATATTGTAGAAATAAATTAACGAACAAGGGTTTATTACACTGAGAAAAAATGGGTACTAATTAAAAAATTCAGAAAATTATCTGTAATTCAAAATTTATTTGCAATTTCCAAAAAATTCAAAAATTCCAAAAAATCTAGTAAAAGAAATTTATTGTTAAATAATAATAATAAATAATAAAATATATAATATTATATTATTAAAATTTTTTTTTTGTTAATAATATATTAATATAAAAATATTATGATCCACAAGTTTTGAAAGTTTGAATGAGCGAAATATTATTAAAAAATATTTCCATGAATTACTTTTTGCAATAAAAATTAAAAAAATTAAATTTTACATTTAGAAACTTTATGATTGACTTTTTTTTAAGTGATGCAAAATTAAATTTAATTTACAGAGCGAAATAAATAAATTTCGTTTATTTGAACTTCAGAACTATTATTTATTCAGAAAAAAAATTGATTTTTCAATTACGTAATTAAAAAAAAATTTAATTTACTAAAAGGCTTTTTGTTTGTGAAAAATAAACAAATGTATTGTTTGTTTACAAAAGAAAAAGAAATAAAATAATTGGAATTAAAAATCAAATTACAGCTCGAGTGTAAATAATAATTAATTAATTTATTGGGAACAAAATTTTCAATAAAATTTCACACATTTTTTCCAGTGTATTTTCCAAAAAAAATAATGGTAATTTTAATAAAAATATATAATAATCGTCCAGCAAGAAATTGACTAAACAAAAAATAAATAAAAACGCTTTTTTCAATATTTGAAAAATATTGTAATTTTAGAATCGTCTGACTTCGTTTTGCTCGAAAAGTCGCGCAAGTCTGTTACATAATTTTTGATAATAACTTCATCGCGTCTATACACATTTTTATTATTATTTTAATTTTTGCGCAAAGAATCACACGAATGATTAAATTTCATCATTTATATTTACAACAAATCAAGAAATTAATTTTTTTAACAAAAATTTTTTTTTCAAACACATAGAAAAAAAAGAAGAAATTTCTTCTTCTTCTTCTTCTTCTTCTTTTTCATAGTGATGGCTTTTCCAGGTCGATTCCTCTATGATGAAAACATTCGTGGATTCTAAATGCGTACCAGACAGAAATACACACGCTCACTAACTTCAAACATTAAATGTATATATGTGAGCTTAGAAAAGTTTATAGTAAAGAGTAATTTTTTTCGAAAAAAAGAAATTTATTGAACATTTATTGAACAAAAAAAGAATCGATTTTTTTTGGCATTTCCTAAACGTATGTTATCGTAAGCAAACCAAACACAAGATAAGAGAATTAAGAACGCATATATAGAACACAGTTGACGATTTCAATTTGTTATCTACAATTTCTAAGAATTCAATCTCGCGTTAATTTTCAACGGTTACTTGGAATTTTATCGTTTATCGCGAGAGTTCTTGACGTACAGCAGTGAACGTTAATGTCTTGTTGAATGCATTATTATTATTATTTATTACTGCTATTATTATTATTAATTAATATTAATAATAATTACTAATCTTAATATTATTATTAATATTAATATTACTATTATTTTTCTCCGTTGGCTTCAATAATGAAAAAAAATATTAATATTATTACTAGTAATTTTATTACTACTACTATTATTATTATTAATTATTAATATTAATATTATAGTTATTATTACGACTTTTACGATTATTACGATTATTATTATTATTATTATTATTATTATTATTATTATTATTATTATTATTGCTATTATTATTATATTATTATTAATATTATATTATTAATATTATTATTATTATTATTATTATTATTATTATTGCAATTTTTATTATTATTATTATTACTATTTTTATTATTAATATTATTACCATTTTTATTATTATTATTAATATTATTATTATGCTTTTTTGTAGTTGAAAGCCAAAGATGAAGGGTATTAAAAAAAATTGTTTAGTATTTTGTTAAAATCATGTTGAAATGGTAAAACCAGGCATGTCATTTATAAAATGTGAAATTGCGATAAATTTCTTTTTCTACTGCGGCGTTCAACTCGCATTTTTTTTTTTTGTGTTTTTTTCATTATCATTAAAAGTACCTAAAATAAATATTTTTTTTTGTGCTCTCTTGGCAAACGGAAAAAAAACGAATGCTCACAATAATTTTTTCTTTATTTTTCAATTAATTGTTTCTTCTTTTTCTTCTCCTTTTTTTTTATAAGTTTTCGATATACATTTCGTTTTTCCAGAATAATTACAAAATAATAAATGTGTATTTGTATAAAGAAAAAAATACAAAGTGCCGTTCTTTTGTACGTTTTTCCAAGTCCAATAAATA